CTCGTTCGCCCTGACCCTGCCTTCCATTGGGGTTGGTTACCCAATCTTCAACAAGGTTGCTCAGGTTTCCTGTGAAGGAAACCCCTATGAAATTATTGTACCCAATTATAGCGTATAACATTTATTCTTTTATCAAAAACTTTGATTTGAGTTTTTTTAGAATTAGAAGATGTTGATTTGTCGATGTCGAAGATTTTATGTGAGGTGATAAATTCTTATATTACCCTATTGGGATTGTGTTTGATTGAGTCCATGGTGTGTTACAATTTCCTCCATCTATCGGGTAGGCTTGCCCATACTTCAAAAATGCGTCTATTATGGTTAGAAACTTCTGTCCATTGGCCTGAAATAAGTATATGTGAATTATTTCTAGTTGTGTAGTCGGAGTTGGTGTTACCATAAATTTTGGCTTGGGAGGAAGTGTGTCATATTTATTTCTTGGCATATACAGCAGAAGTTTATGACATCTTCTTTGTCTTTTTTCATATTAGGTCAGTAATATCGTTTTCTTATTTGGTTTTCTGTTTCAGCTATTCTTCTATGGTTAGTTTTTCCTTCATGATAGTTTCTTATAAGTTCCTTTTGGTTTTCTTTGGAGTTAACATATTCAATAAAAAATTACATTTTACCAGGTAATATGCGTTATTTTTAAACGTTTTTTGATAATTTCGCAAATTTCTGCAAAGACTTCTTCTTCAAATAAAATTGCATACTCCATAACTAGTTAATTACTATTAAACTGGGAATAAGCCACAATTAAAGATAAAAATACGTTTATTGACGTTTCAATTTCCACTTCGGAAATCGTTCTCAAAATACAAACAGTAAATTAAACAAATTTTGTTTTTTGTTACATAGTGAAAAATTCTTCTAATAATTTAATTTTATCTGACTCATTTATATTGACAATTCAGACATACATTATGCATTTTAAAGTAGACGACTTTAAAATGATATTGCCAATATTGTTGAGTTGCGCTTCTAGGACGACTTTGCTTATAAGATAGTTCATTCGATTACATGAAATCAACTTTAACTTGAGAATATCCGTCAGAAAAAAATCATAGCATGTAATTCGTCTTTAAAAAGACAAACACATGACATGATGACAGTAAAATTCTCCTGTTAGTGATTCCATAGTAAATTATGAGGGAAAACCAGGAAAAAAAACCTCATAATACTATCCCGACATTGTAAGTATTTGTTCGTGAATTTAGTTTACCTTCAACAAACATCAAAATTCTGATTTTATATGTTACGTTATTTAAAAAACATAAATGATGTATCCTCTATATGTTACTGACTTACTAATACTGGTATTTTCTTATTAATAACTTCCTCTTTCAATATTGGTAACCAGATCCTACTACATTCTGCGAGGAATTTGCGACACAATTGGTCTCATTTAGCATAATTAGAGCCGCTTCTTTGACTTTTCTTTTTTTACCATCCGTTTCTTTTAGGACTACATTTGAATTATTCCATTGAACCCTATGTTCATTATCCCATGCGTGTTTACAGATTTGAGATCTATCAAATTCTTTATTTTTAATATAAGATTGATGTTCACTTATTCTATTGATGATTCACCTAAATAAAACTGATCGCATTCACAAGGTATTTTATAAATGCAATTCTTTGTCCTTTCTTATTCATTGTTAGGTTTGGTTTTGGACAAAATAGATTTCAACGTGTTTGTTGTTTTGAATGTTGTTGAAATGTTGAATTTATTTCCTATCCTTTTAAGTTTTTCTGATAGTCCTTTTATGTACGGTATTGTTATTTTCCTCATATTATTCCTTGTGTATGCTATAGGATCTCGTTCTAAGTTGTTCTGTTCTATTCGATCGATTGTTGAAAATTCCTTATTTATAAACGATAAAGAATAATCATTTTTTAATAAAACAGATGTTAACAAATGTTTCTCCTCCAAGAACGAATTTTCATTAGAACAAGTAATTTTGGCTCTATCGTATAAGGATTTAATTATTCCCTTTTTTACATTAATATTGTGATTTGATTTGAAATTTAAACATCTATTGGTGTGTGTTGGTTTTCTATACACCTGAGTCTCATATCCAGTATCGTTCTTAGAGATTAAAACATCCAGGAAAGGTAGCGTGTTATTATATTCCTTTTCCATGGTAAATGTTATTGTCTCTTCTTTATCGTTTATATCATTTAGGAATGTGTCCAACAACTCTGATCCATGAGGCCATATTGAGAATATATCATCTACATACCTCCACCATACTGTGGGTTTGAAATTTTGTTTAGAAATGATATTTGTTTCAAAATCTTACATAAATATATTGGCTAATAATGGAGATAAACTAGAGCCCATTGCTAGACCAAAATTGTGTTTATAGAATTCATTATTTAGTTGAAAATATGTATTATCAGTACATAATGTTAATAACTCCATTATAGCCGATATGTTTAGTCTTGTTCTAAAAGACCATAACTGGTCTTTCGATAGCTGAATGTGATAACGCTTTTTATTAGAAAAAGTGTGGGCAATGGCTGGAGGTCGTGGGCTGTAGTTGATGGTTTTGATAATAATTTGGTTATTGTAAAAGTTAAGTGGCTTTTATGAAATAGGTATACCAAGAACTGGATTTTCTGCTGCTGTATGTCTTGTTTCATTTCCGTCTTCGTCTATGTTTTGATCTTTTGTTTGAACCATATCGTCTAAGATATTTTCTGGAATTATCTGATTGGATTTTTGCATTACAATCTCGTTGACTATTTTATCTTTATCTGGATTATTATATGTTGACGATCCATCATCTTCTATTTCGCCTAAATCATCAAAAACTTCCTTAATTTGTGAATCAATGTCCTTAATTTCTTTTGTGCGTATTTCAATTGAGACAATGCATCTGCATTGGTGTTGACTTTGCCTTTTTTGTAAATTACGTCGTAGTCAAATTCTTCTAATTTTAGTCTTCAACGTACTAATTTTTCCTTTGTTGAGTTCGGTTACTTTATACGAAAATAGGTATTGTGAACGGCGGTCATCTAAAAGTATTTTAAATTTCCTTCCGATTAAGTAGGGTCGCAAATACTTAGTTGCCCACACTATTGCTAACATTTCCTTTTCTATTATTAATTAGTCTGTTTTGTGTTTCATTCATTGTGTTCTAGAAGCGAAAGCAATCGGTTGATCACTGCGAACTGGTCCTTGGCAAAGGACTGCTCCAATTTTGTAATTCCTGGCATCAGTGGTGAGATTAAATGGTTTGGAAAAATCCATATTGCAATAACGGCTCATCCATTAATAAATTTTTGCATGTGTTAAAGCATTCTACAAATTGGGGGGTATGTTTGATTTTAGCATCCTTTTTCAAGAATTTTGTTATAGGTTTTGTGATTTTTGTAAAATCTCGAATAAACTTCCTGTAACATCCCAGGAGTCCAAGAAATCCTCTTATTTCCTTTGCGGTTTTTGTAATTGGGTATTTTTCGATCGCTTCTATTTTGGCTGAATTTGGTTTTATTCCTTTTTGTGTGACTACATGTCCTAGAAAATTAACTTCCTTTTTTAAGAACTTAAATTTATCGACTTGGATTTTCAATTGGGCTTCTCTGAGTCGTTGAAATACCTTTATCTCTCCTTGGATTTTGCATTGTTACATATCCATAGTGTCCATTATCAACATTAAATGTTGTTTTGGGAATGTCTTTTTCAGTCATCTCAATTTGATGAAATCCGCTCGCTAAATCGAGGGTAGTAAAATACTGACATCGTCCCAATTTGTCGAGGACATCGGTAATCTGAGGAATCGTCTATCGGTTGGTCATGGCGATTGGCCTGGTCTAATGATGCCTTGATCTAACATTGAAGATGTTTGTTTCTTTACTTCTTTCTTATGTACATATGGGTACCGGTATGATTTCGTATATACTGGCTCTTCATCTTTTTCGGAGAAAGAAGAATTTCAGAGAATTTTCGGTATAGGCGGCGAACTTGTTCTTCTTCTTGGTTAAGATGTTCGATCTTCGAAGGAAAAGGGGGAAAAAGGGGTAGACGACAAATATCTTGGCTGAAAAACATTCACAACTGGATCGGTTTAAACACACAGACACATTTAAGAAAAGCAGCAGATAAAGATGAATTTACAATGATTATAGCCAACTTTTATTGGTGGAGTTGTCACTAGAAGAAGAAGACGTAATGCGTTGTTGTTCGACGCCCTTTCCGACCATGTAACACACCGTAACGTTTTACAACACCCCCTCCTTCCTAATTGCGCTACGTTATAATGCAACAACCCCTATTTGAATATCAGGAAAAATTTGGATCAGATCAGGAATTAATGAACAGAGCATATATACGAAAGCTTCTTCTTAAAGTGCCGTCTTCTAGAGGTGAGTGATGACTTCTGCAAATTAAGTATTAAAAAAGCTAGGAAAGCAATAAGAAAACTTTTATATGAAAAAGCCTTTCAATAATAAAAAGCTGCTATAACTCGAACGAATAACGAATTTAATAGCATTTTATTGTGTACTCGTAATACCAAAAGAACTTTTAAAAACTCTAAGAAACTTAAATCTGAACATTACATATAGAATTCTCCAAGAGATAAAATGGCCGCCATCCTTAAAGAGATTAGAGGTTAGTCCTGGAAAAGATCTACGATTTAACGGCATTTATCCTTAATTTTTTTTGCCTACGAAGCATACGCAAAGTTTTTTGGTGGTTTTTGTAAAAATAGATGCTTATATTTTTTCCATGAAATATTACGCAATATTTATATCTTGAAGGTCATTATCAATCATGAAGACAATATTACTACTAAAAGGCAATCAAAATGTCTAATATCTTTATATTATTGATCCTAAAATCCTAACAGTCTCGCGCGTTTTTGAAAAGAACAATAAATTTCAAAATTATAACAGCTTAAAAAATTGACAGTGATAATCCTCCATTTTGCCTATCTTTTGTATGTTCTTACATTTCTTATGGGTATAAATAAATGCGTACGGTGGTAGTAGAAGTAAAAATGTGATAGTAAAGGCCATAGTAGATATATTCTATAATGAATAATATGACTTTGGCTGTGGTTTTTGCGATTTTATTTATCGGTGGAATATCCTCTGCTGCAAATAAAGGTAAATTTCTTTTTATATTTGTATCTTAGCCAAAACTCTATAAGAGAAATATAAGAGTAAATATATCTTAAGTAACAACAAAAGTTGAACAATATTTTTGAGCAGTCCGATTTTGTAAGCGTCTCGTGAGGTGATATTTAGAGAGCCTATGATAATTCACAAATTATTCCTATTCATGCCTAGTAGATCTTTGGATCTCTTCTTCAAAGGTTCATGTACAAAAGCCTTCGAAGGTTTAAAACCTATTTGTTCGCACCAGCAGTTACGTTTTATTTGTTGCACTCAGTTCGATATTGTTCTTTGGACGTACTTTTTGCTATGCCAATGGAAGGTTCTGGGCCTATGAATGTTTCTTTTGCCTCTCTTTTGGCAAGTAGGTCAGCTTTTTCGTTCCCTTCAATACCAGTATATCCAGGTAGCCATATTCAACTTACTAGTTACTTTTTCCGATCCGAATCACATTCTTAAGACAGTTCTAAATTAATTTAGAGTGAATCCCATTCGATTCTATTACTCTTAATGCCGGCTGGCTATCAAATATAATTTTTACTGTTCCTGGAGTTCCTGTTTATTAGTTTCTTCGGGCATTTCTCTATAGCATAAATGAGTGCTTGAAAGATAGTAGAAATGATTACCTAAGCTTTCACTCAGTTAAACGTTGGTTTCCCTCCATATTCTCTAGCTCCAACTTCTACATGTATATCAGTATCGATCTGCTAATGTAAGATTAGTTTGATTCGACTCTCATTCGTCCATTTGTGGAAGAGGAAGGTAAGCGGCATTTCAAATTTATATTAATATTGCATTGCATCGATTACCAGTTCTAATTCTCTCCAGATTTAATCACGGTCTCCTTTTGCCCTGCTTCTTGGCGTTTTATTCGCCTTCTGTATGCTCCTACATTCTCCTCTTCTCCATTTATATATGTAATGAAGGGAGGCCAAGTATAACTTCTATGAAGGCGGTTGGTCCTCTTTTTGATGTGCCTATCCGTGACAAGTGTTGGTGATCAACATAGCAATATTTATCTTATCGGCAGCAGCAAGGAAAAACTGCGCAGATGTGTTGAACCAAGTTCTGAGATTCTTTAACCAGGATGTTCTTCTTCTTCGTGGACCTCGCTTTCCAAATATTTTTCCTGGCAGGATGGCTGGTAGGGCAAATCTAAGGAGCGATTGTTTAACTACAGTCATATATAGGCAGTATATCTGTTTGGGTTCATACTCCATGTTTTTCCATATATCCTTTAAAATATCTATATGGTTTGTTGGTTATTTTTTTCAAATGGACGTTCCATGTAAGCTGCGTATCTAGTTTTACTCCTAGATATTTGACCTCATTCTCCTCTTTGAGAGTTTTTCCATAAAGACTTTCGTCTTCTATTAAAACTGACTACTATTGTTTTACTAGGATTCACAGGGAATTTTTGACTATCGCATACCTTAGTAATGATATTTAATGTTCTTTGGACTGTGCTAGATAAAACATTACCATATTTTCCTCTTACCATAATTACTAGGTCATCCGCATAGGCTTGCACTTCTACCCTCTGTGCATAAAGGGACGAGATCAGTTCATCCAATAGGAGTGACTACAGGGGAGAAAAAGGTCCTCCCTATGGGAATCCCTAAGCTGTTTTGGCCAAAATCTTCTCTTCTTGTAGGCCTGTTAGAATTAACCTAGTTTTCAGCGTTGCTTTGATCCAGTAGCATACGGTAGCGGATATCCCATTCGTTGCTGCTGCATAAGAGAATTTGTAATACAATCTCTTCATTATTAAAAAAGTGACTGATTTTCTGAACTACTTCGTCCAGTACTCTTTCTGTTGATTTTCCTTCTTGATATGCATTCTGGTTGCAACTGAGAAGATGATGTCTCAGTACCCCCTGTTTCATATATCTCTATCAAGATTTTTTATTATCTTTAACAGAAATGATGTAAGACTCATCGGCCGTTGTCCAAGTCTTTGTGGTATATATCCTAATACCATGTTAGTTATAAAAATCTTTGTTATGATGAATAATAAAATGTCCAATCCTTTTTGTAGTAGGGCAGAAAATATTTCATCCTCTCTTGAAGATTTAAATAAAGCAAATTAGTGTATGGCCCACGTTACATTCTCCGGTTTGATGTATATTGAAAATAATTTACAGTCTTCTTTTTTAACCCTTAGTGATCTTATCATATCTATTCCTTTCGGTTTCGACAAGCTGTAGCAGTCTTGACTTTTTATTTATTATTCCATCATCAGTGCTTTCATATATATTAATTATTATTCCATCATCAGTGCTATCTGGATGTACATGTTTTGAGGCACTAAATACTTGGGTAAAAACCCTTTAAATGTGGTTGATTGTATATACTAGGATGTTTAAGTTACAACAGGATAGATTTTTGTGATACATGGTATACAGGAACTTGGTTTCTTTATGGAAAATGTTTCTGTTAATCCAAAAAGCAGATAATTATAGAAATTTTGAATTCTTCATCTTTTTCAATGAACTGTCACATATTGAGAATTTACTCCCTTGTGCCCTTATCCATAACGAAGTTCGCTTGTTCTTGTGGTCTTTGTCTAGCGAGCTATGTCTATATGCGATATTTAATTATTATCAATGGAATTTACATTGTGTTTAGAATTAGTAAGATAGTTCGATAGTTATTACATTAATCTATATATCTAGTAGTAAACAAACTATCTAAATGGGTCATGATATTTAAGTAAATTTATTAGATTTTAACAAATTATTTTATATTATTTAGAAAAAAGCTAACACAAGACTACCAACATAAACAAGCCCAAATTCAAAGAATGATATACAAAATACCGGAAGTCATACGAAAAAGTAATACAAGAAACACTTGAATTATGAGACAGCAAACATAACACAAGTTTGGAGATAAATATGCCAATATAACAAGAAGGAAAAACAGCATCTCCCAACAAGGAAGTATAAAATGGAAGAAAAAATACATGAACTGAAAACTCTTAATAAAAAGCCACATACGCAAATTTTAAAACAATGGGAACAAAAATATAAAGAACGATTAAATAAATAATCAAATGGTAGAAACTCTTTGTCAATACATCAACGACTTCAAAGAAAAGATACCACAATCTCATGTGTACAATCAATAAACTCTTCTTATTCTTTTAGTGCCGTCTTCACTAATGAAGGTTGGCTATAACCATTGCAAATTCACATCTATTTTCTGCTTTTCTTAATAGCGTCTGTGTGTTTAACCCGGTCCAGTCGCGAATATTTTTAGCCAGGATATTTGTCGTCTACCAGAACTCTTTTTCTCCTTCGATTTTACCTTTCATAATTAGCTGAAACAACTCGTACTTATCATTTCTAAGTATGTGCCCCAAATATGCTATCTTTCGCCTTTTAATGGTGATCAAAAGTTCTCTGTCTCTTCCCATTGTGTGCAACACCATTACACCATTTCGTTCGAAATATGATTGGTCCATGGTATCTTCAAAATTCTCCAAAAAAGCCACATCTCAAAAGCTTCCAGTTTTCTCATTAAGTTAACATTAAAAGCCCAGGCTTCGACACCATAAAGAAGAATAGAGTGGATATAACATTTTACCATCCGATATCGGATTTACAGATTGAGTCTTTGGTTAGTCAGAAATTTCCACATCTTCAACAATGCTGCTCTTGATTACTCTATTCTTGAGCGTTCCGGCTCAGAATTCGGATTCAGATCTTCCGAAATTCAGACTTCTAAGTAATTCATTTTGTCCACTTGCTCAATATCTTCATTTTTTATCTGGATCCTTATCTAATAACTTTGCCCCTCTTAATGATAACCATGGTTTTTGTTTTCTTTATGTTTATTGTTAAACCAAACTGTTCCCTAGTAACACAAATTGTGTTTAATAACGTCTGAAGGTCTGTCTAACTTGCAGCGATAATGACTGTATCGTCTGCATAACGGATGTTATTTATATTTTCACCATTTATCTTGATCACTTCTGTACAGTTTTCAAGTGCTTGCGTAAATAACTCTTCGAAATATATATTAAATAGTAATGGTGAAAGTACACAGCCCTGTCTCACTCCTCTACTAATCTGTTGCGCATCCGTGCTATTTTCATCTAATGTTACCACAGCCTGTTGGTTACAATTTCTCACTACATTAATGTCGTTTTTGTCGAGTTCTTTTCTGTTTAGACATTCCATGAGAATGTTATGCTTAACTTTTTCGAAAGCTTTCTCATAGTCTATAAACGCAACTAAAAGATCTTTTTGTTGGTCTTGACATTTTTGGGCAAGAGTTGTGAAACTATACAGAGCTTCCACTGTTCCGAAGTCGTTACGAAAGCCACACTGTCTATTACTCATATCCGCTTCGCACTTCCTAAATATTCTTGCATTGTATAATATTTAAAATGCTTTTAATAAGTGCTATATTGGAATCAAACGGCCCACATGAAGAATGGACATATGGTGAGTGAAAATATAACCATTTCTAGAGGGGTAAGACAGGGCTGTATTCTTTCGCCACTGCTTTTCAACCTGTACACGGAACAAATATTTCTAGAGGCACTAGAAGAGTACAATGAGGGCATCAAGATTAATGGCGTACCAATAAGTAATTTTCGATATGCAGATGATACTATTATACTGGCCGATAACATCGAAGATTTACAGATGATGCTACATAGAGTTAATACAACTGGCAGCCGATTTGGACTGAAGATTAATAGAAAGAAAACTAAATTTATGGTGATCAGTAAAAAAAAATTTCAACATATCGACCTGCATCTTGAAGACGAACGTATTGAAAGAGTACACCGATTTAAATATCTGGGATATACAGTAAATGACAAGTGGGACCCAGAAGTAGATATTAAGATCCGAATTGAAATAGCAAGATCCAAATTCATCAAAATGAGAAAGCTCTTAAGCAACCGCAACCTAAGCATTAACCTCCGATGGCGCGCCACGAAATGCTACGTACTCTCTACGCTACTTTACGGCGTAGAAGGGTGGACATTAACAGCAGCAACTATAAAGAAGTTAGCGGCTCTAGAAATGTGGCTGTATCGACGCATACTGAGAATACCTTGGACAGACAGAGTGACCAACACAGAGGTATTAAGACGAATGGGTAAAGAGGTGGAATTTTTAACAACTGTTAAAAGGAGGAAAGCGTCATACCTGGGCCATGTGTTCCGTAATGATAAGTACAGTCTGCTACAGCTTATCGTGGAAGGCAAGATGGAAGGTAGAAGAGGTTTGGGCAGAAAGAAGAAATCCTGGCTGAGAAACTTGAGAGAATGGTTTCAAATACCAGAAGCTGCGAACATAATTCATGCGGCACAAAACAGAGAAACCTATCGTATGATGGTCGCCAACCTTCGGTAGAAGACGGCACATAAAGAAAGAAATAAGTGTGACATTAAGCTGATTAATATATAGTCATTAGAGTGTTTGGAGTTTTTGGTTTTTGGTAGCGGAACAAAGGTCGATAGCACCCATTCTGTAGAGATCTCACCAGATTTGTATATGTTGTTAAATAGTATAGTTATTGCACTTAAATTGTCTTCGTCTATAAGTTTAATCAGCTCGATATGATAGCCCAGAAGCTCTGCCAGATTTTGAGTTGTTTATAGCATGTTGGACTTTTAATGGAGATTAAAATTTTGCATCTTTGGATATTTTAATATTATTGGAGCTTTCTCGTTATCAATTTGTGGTAGCTCCGTTCTTGTGTCCATGAAAAGATCTTCAATATATTTAGTCCATACTTGTTTTATTTCAATTGGGTTATTAATAGGTTTATTGTTTTTGTCAATTAATCGGTTAGGTGTATTTGCTCGTGATTTTCCAGATAATTCTTTTACTTTTTTATATCAATTATAATAATCATACTTTTTCTGTAATTCTTTCACTTCGATGCATGTTTTCATCATATGCTTTTTCTTAGCATCATTTATTTTGTTCCTTATTAATGTATGTTTTTCTTTGTACTTATTTGGGCTATTGTTTCTATATTTTCTTCTTTGTTCCATGATTTCCAGTATTTCTTGAGTCATCCAAGGTTTTCGGCTTTCTATTTTCTTTTGTAGAGTTTCATTCTGTGTTTTTATAACAGAATCTCTGATTTTGCTCCACATAGTGTTCACATTCTCCGTGTCTTTCATTTCTGATGTTAATTTCTTCATTTTTTGACTGATGCAAGTTGAAGCCTCAGCAGGGATTTCATTTATCTTGAGTAACTGAGTATTCACCTTTCAACAAACTCAAAAATAGGAAATCATCGGGGTTACCCAACACAATATTACTGTATAATCGACTAAGATGATGGATGACTAAGGGGTAAAAGCTTAATGAAAGCACTACACAAAATATTTAAATTTAAAATCAGACACAAATACCAGATAAATTAGGTCCGGAAATTATAGTGCTCATGCGCAAAAAAGAATACCTAATGGAATAAGACATTTACTTAGACATCACCGCAAGATAGCAGTACATGGGATCTTCTTCTTACGGTGCCTATCCGTTCCGGATGTTGGCGATCAACATGGCTATCCTAACTTTGCTTGCTGCTATTCTGAATAGTCCGGTTGTCGATGTATTAAACCATTTTCTCAGGTTTTGAAGCCAAGATATTCTGCTTCTCCCTGGTCCTCTCTATACATGGAATAATCATAGATTATTGTGTAACCATGGTCGCAATTCCTTTATAAATTTTCTCTGAGTGACAATGACAAAAAGATGTTACTAGGTGTATTAACCTAATGTCATTTTCATTAAATATTTCATGGATATTGCGTTTGTCTATGGTTGGTATAAACGGTTGAACGTTTGTGTTGAGGTCACCGTAAATTATTTTGATGTCGTTCTCTAGACATATCGGCACTTTCTAATTCATCGTGAAACTGTTACTTGAACTAATTATTGACTTAAAGTATTTGATGAGATATTTAAGTTTTTGTTTGTCAATGTTCAGGACAAAGCTGTAAATAGAAAATAACTATAGAAATGTGCTAATTATTTTCAGTAATTTTTCCTTTTTTATTTTCAGAAATTGTCCAAAACTTAAGAAACAATGCCCTTTGTCTTCAAACTGGATTTTGTAAGTAAAAAATTTATTTTGCTGCAAATATAAATACAAATAATGTTATTTCTACTAAATTATGTTTTTACCAACATCTTTTAGCTTGCCCCGAAGTGGACAGTCACACATCAGTTTACTTTGCAATAACAGATTGCACCAAGTTCTGTCAATGTTCCAACGGAGTTCCATATCTACATAATTGTCCGCAGGGGCTACATTTTAATCCCAGTCTTAATGTTTGTGATTATCCTGCTCAGGCTGGATGTACAGGTCAAGAGGTTGTGGTAAGTACAACAACAACTACTACTACTACCACTACCCCGGCTCCAGCTACCACCACTACGACTACCACAACACCTGTGCCCACTACTACTACGTCTACTACTCCTGTGCCGACCACGAACTCTACTTCAACTACTGCTCCTACAGCAGCAACTCCCACTACCACTACTTCTGCTCCAGTAACCACCACTAGGACGACCACAACTACTGCTCCCTCCACTACATCCTCAACAACTGCTGCTACAACTATAAAGGTTGATAATTTGTGTATTCAGCAAAATATAGGTAAGAAAAAGTATAAACGTTACTATGCGTTACTAAGTCTCCAAGCCATTAAGAAGATCTAATTCAAATTTGACATAAAAATTTTTGATTATTTCTACTTTCCAATATATTGTACAAACTGATTTAACTTTAGCAACAGTACATAAACTGATAGCATTTACAAGAAGTCGTACTGAACAAAATATGAAACCTTCACCAGGTTTTCCAACTTCTCTACCTTTTATAACAAAGGAGTATTCTTTAGTTTTAATTTTTTTTTTGGTTTAGAGCTCCTTTTTCGCACAATGTGTGCTAAAATTAGAATATTTAGGAGATAGGCTAAAATAGATCAAGTATATAAAGTAAAGCTCTTCTTATCACCTTTATGTATTACCACCTACTTAACAGAAATTATCAGTTTTAAATTGACCTTTATCACTTTTAAAGACCTTCAATAATATTAGATGTAATATCTTATTTCTGAATTTATAAATATTCTTTTAGCTTGTCCAGCAGTTGATGGACCAGATTCCGTCTATTTCTCACACAGCAACTGTTCTAAGTTTTGCCAATGTTCCAACGGTGTGCCATATGAACAAACTTGTCCAGAAGGTCTTCATTTTAATACGAAATTGAATGTTTGTGATTGGCCACAAAATGCAGGATGTACTGGAACCGATGTAACTCAATCGACTGTTGAACCCACCACAATTACAACTGCCAATCCTTCGCCAGTTGCAAACAGTACAACTACAGTTTCGTCTACTACAACTACAGAAGAAACTCTTCAGGACAGTACAACTCTTAGTGATAATATTTGCCTTCGTGAAAATATAAGTAAGTATCTGATAGTTTTATTCAATTATAATGTAAGTTTTATTAACGTATTCTATTTATTTTAAAATGGTGTTTAAAATATAATACTAAGTAAATGAATTTTTTAAGTATGATTAAAATTGACAGATAATTGTTCATATTTACAAATTTTTAGTTTGTCCTACTGTTGACGGACCTACCTCAGTATACGCAGCTGTGTCAGACTGCACCAAATTTTGCCAGTGCTCAAATGGTTATCCATACCAGCACAACTGTCCAGTAGGTTTACATTTTAATGCAAAACTCAACGTTTGCGACTGGCCTGAAGATGCTGGGTGTACTGGAGGTACCACTGCAGTCACTACAACTACTCAAAGTACTACTTCCACAACCACTGTGAGAAGTACTAGCGAAACCACAGTAACTACAGAGGGTGTTACAACTGATAGGGTTAAAAACGGAACTGATATTTGTCTTGAAAATAGTATAGGTAATTGTTGTAAAAAATGCCATAAAAGATCTAAAATATGATTTATATTTTAAATTATAGTATGTCCTGTTGTCGATGGTCCTGACTCAGTATATGCTGCTTTACCCGATTGTACCAGATTCTGCCAATGTTCAAACGGATTACCATATTTGCACAGTTGTCCACATGGTTTACATTTTAACCCAAATCTAAACGTATGTGATTGGCCTGAGGATGCAGGATGTACCAGTGGTACTACCACTACAGAAAGAAGTACTACACACACTGAAACTACTGAAGAAACAACTACAATCACGGCAAGCAGCACTAATGCAGATGCTAGTACCACTCAAGATAATTCCAATAGATCAGAAAATACAACAGAAATATGTTTACAGAATAATATTAGTAAGTACTATTTTTTATTTTGCTTAAACATAATATATTCTGAGATAACGCAAAAGAAACAACAACTTCATAGTAATTCTATATTTTAGAATGTCCTAAGACTGATGGTCCTAATTCCATATATGGAGCATTACCTGATTGTACCAAATTTTGTCAGTGTTCAAACGGAATACCATACTTGCATAATTGTCCAGTTGGATTACATTTTAATCCTACTCTCAATGTGTGCGACTGGCCTGAAGACGCAGGATGTGTTGGTGAGGTCACAACAGAAAAGACAATTGAAGATATTACCAGTGAGGTAACTACTGAAAATATATCAACTGTATCATCTTCTAGCACAGCTTCATCTGGAGCAAGTACCAATAATGAAAATACTTCATCTGAGTCAACCCCAGCAAGCACAGATAATATTAGTACAGAGAACACGACTCAAGATATAACCACTTCTGAAGCGAGTACTAATAATAATAATAATAATAGTACTGCCATAAGCACTGAAGGTACAACTGCTAACACTCAAACTGAAAGTAATAGCACAGCAGAAAATACGTCCGCAGGTAATAATACAACTGAAAATACTAACACAGAAAATAGTAGCACAGAAGGTAATACAACTGAAAATACTAACGAAGAAAATAGCAGTACAGAAAGTACTACCACAGAAGTACGTTCAACAAGTGGAGAAAATTCATCTGACGGTAGTACTACTGTCGCTCCACGAAATGAAACATTATGTCTTCAAAACAACATTGGTAAGTGAAAGTCATTATTGCTTAATTTTATAATTTCTTTATTGATTGCAGTATTTGGTTTACCATGCAAATGCAATTTTTAATATTTATTTATATCATTTCTTTAGTATCATTCCCTCTAATTTTCGATTTTGTTACCGTTCTTCGAATCTATACCTACAATTTTGATATTTTTATTCTTACTTGTTGGTTTTTTAACGATTTGATTTTTAGAGTTCACTGTAAAATAACAACAAACTATTTATATTTCAGTTTGCCCAGCCATCGATGGAGCTGACTCAGTTTATGCTTCTTTACCCGACTGTACCAAATTCTGTCAATGTTCAAACGGAGTAGCTTATCTTCAACATTGTCCAGCTGGCCTACATTTTAATCCTTCACTCAATGTATGTGATTGGCCAGAAGATGCAGGTTGCACAAGAGGTAATAATACTACTGGCATCAGCACTGAAGGTACAACTATCAGCACCCAAGCTGAAAATATTAGTACAGAGGAGAGTACCTCTGCAAGTAATAGCCAAGAAGGCAATACAACTGAAAATAACGCACAAAATAGTACCACCGAAATAACTACTACCGAAGCTAGTATTACAAGTGACACTAGCGTAGATGTAACAGAAGAAAATTCCAACAAAAGTACTACTGCGACTCCACAAACTGAGTTAGAACTATGTATACAACACAACGTTGGTGAGTAAAATATTTTACTTCTTATTTTTTAAAAGTGTTAAACTAAGCATTCTTTAGGTTTATTTATATTATTTGTTGAAGATTGATATTATTAATATAGACAGTTTAAAATAAAGTAATAAAAGACATACAATAAGAAATAATTCAACAGACTATGGAAACAATATTTAATTCAATTTAAATTCACATTAAGTCATGATTGCAGACTAATTTGGATGATAATAAAATGACTTGCTAACTAGAGTTATTGCGAGAAGATTAAATCAAATTGTAAATATATTAGAAAAGTATACCTTTGTCTGATAGTTTAAGAATGTTAATTTCTAAATATTTTGTAAATACATATAATATAAATAAATTTAAATACATTTAAACTTTTTAATTCTCCCTTTTAATTTTAGTTTGTCCTGAAGTTGACGGACCAGAGTCAGTTTATGCCCGCTTACCCGACTGTACCAAATTCTGTCAGTGTTCTAATGGGGTACCGTATCTCCATACTTGTCCAGTAGGTCTACATTTCAATCCTTTACTAAATGTATGTGATTGGCCAGAAGATGCAGGCTGTAACAATGCAATAGATGTAACCGAAAGTACTTCAACAGAAGAAAGTACTAGTACTACGGACAGTCAAACTGAAACTACAACTGGTGATAATGTAACTGATAATGTTACAACAGAAGACAATATTTCTAGTAGTACAACAGATAATAATCAAGAAACAAGCACTCCTAATAGTGCCACAGATGTAAGCACTACTGAAAATAATACAGATGCCACTAGTACTACGGACAGTCAAACCGAAACTACAACTGGTGATAACGTAACTGATAATGTTACAACAGAAGGGAACATTTCCAGTAGCACAACAGATAATAATCAAGAAACAAGCACTCCTAATAGAACCACAGACGTAAGCACTACTGAAAACAATACCGATGTCAATAGTACTACAGACAGTCAAACCGAAACTACAACTGGTGATAATGTAACTGATAATGTTACAACAGAAGACAACGTTTCTAATAGTACAACAGATAATAATCAAGAAACAAGCACTCCTAATAGTGCCACAAATGTAAGCACTACTGAAAATAATACAGATATCACTAGTACTACGGACAGTCCAACTGAAACTACAACTGGTGATAATGTAACTGATAATGTTACAACAGAAGGGAACATTTCCAGTAGCACAACAGATAATAATCAAGGAACAAGCACTCCTAATAGTGCCACAGATGTAAGCACTACTGAAAATAATACCGATGTCAATAGTACTACAGACAGACAAACCGAAACTACAACTGGTGATAATGTAACTGATAATGTTACAACAGAAGACAACATTTCTAGTAGTACAACAGATAATAATCAAGAAACAAGCACTCCTAGTAGTACCACAGATGTAAACACTACTGAAAATAATACAGATGCCACTAGTACTACGGACAGTCAAACCGAAACTACAACTGGTGATAATGTAACTGATAATGTTACAACAGAAGAGAACATGTCCAGTAGCACAACAGATAATAATCAAGGAACCAGCACTCCTAATAGTACCACAGACGTAAGCACTATTGAAAACAATATAGATGTCACTAGTACTACGGATAGTCAAACCGAAACAACAACAGATGATAATCTAATTGATAATGTAACGACAGAAGAGAACATTTCCAGTAGCACAACTGATAATAATCAAGGAACAAGCACGCCTAATAGTACCACAGACGTAAGCACTACTGAAAACAATACAGATATCACTAGTACTACGGACAGTCAAACTGAAACTACAACTGGTGATAATGTAACTGATAATGTTACAACAGAAGACAACATTTCTAGTAGTACAACAGATAATAATCAAGAAACAAGCACTCCTAATAGTGCCACTGATGTAAGCACTACTGAAAACAATACAGATGCCACTAGTAGTACGGACAGTCAAACCGAAACTACAACTGGTGATAATGTAACTGATAATGTTACAACAGAAGAGAACATGTCCAGTAGCACAACAGATAATAATCAAGGAACCAGCACTCCTAATAGTACCACAGACGTAAGCACTACTGAAAACAATACAGATGCCACTAGTACTACGGACAGTCAAACCGAAACTACAACTGGTGATAATGTAACTGATAATAGTACCACAGCCGTAAGCACTACTGAAAACAATACCGATGTCAATAGTACTACAGACAGTCAAACCGAAACTACAACTGGTGATAATGTAACTGATAATGTTACAACAGAGGACAACATTTCTAGTACTACAACAGATAATAATCAAGAAACAAGCACTCCTAATAGTGCCACAGATGTAAGCACTACTGAAAACAATACAGATGCCACTAGTACTACGGACAGTCAAACCGAAACTACAACTGGTGATAATGTAACTGATAATGTTACAACAGAAGACAACATTTCTAGTAGTACAACAGATAATAATCAAGGAACGAACACTCCTAATAGTGCCACAGATGTAAGCACTACTGAAAACAATACCGATGTCAATAGTACTACAGACAGTCAAACCGAAACTACAACTGGTGATAATGTAACTGATAATGTTACAACAGAAGACAACATTTCTAGTAGTACAACAGATAATAATCAAGGAACGAACACTCCTAATAGTGCCACAGATGTGAGCAATCCTGAAAACAATACAGATGTCACTAGTACTACGGACAGTCAAACTGAAACTACAACTGGTGATAATGTAACTGATAATGTTACAACAGAAGAGAACATTTCCAGTAGCACAACAGATAGTAATCAAGAAACAAGCACTCCTAATAGTGCCACAGATGTAAGTACTACTGAAAACAATACAGATGTCACTAGTACTACGGGAAGTCAAACCGAAACTACAACTGGTGATAATGTAACTGATAATGTTACAACAGAAGAGAACATTTCTAGTAGTACAACAGATAATGATCAAGGAACAAGCACGCCTAATAGTACCACAGACGTAAGCTCTACTGAAAACAATACAGATGTCACTAGTACTACGGACAGTCAAACCGAAACAACAACTGATGATAATGTAAATGATAATGTTACAACAGAAGAGAACATTTCCAGTAGCACAACTGATAATAATCAAGGAACAAGCACGCCTAATAGTACTACAGATGTAAGCACTACTGAAAACAATACAGATGTCACTAGTACTACAGGAAGTCAAACTGAAACTACAACTGGTGATAATGTAACTGATAATGTTACAACAGAAGAGAACATTTCTAGTAGCACAACAGATAATGATCAAGAAACAAGCACGCCTAATAGTACCACAGACGTAAGCTCTACTGAAAACAATACAGATGTCACTAGTACTACGGACAGTCAAACTGAAACTGCAACTGGTGATAATGTAACTGATAATGTTACAACAGAAGAGAATATTTCCAGTAGCACAACAGATAGTAATCAAGAAACAAGCACTCCTAGTAGTAACACAGACGTAAGCACTATTGAAAACGTTACAGAGATCACTAGTACTACGGGTAGTCAAACCGAAACTACAACTGATAAAAATGTCACTGACAACTCAACAACAGGTGAAAATACAACTAACAATATGACAACAGAAGATAATGTTTCTAGTAGCTCAACAGACAATGTTTCAACAGAGTCTGTTAGTTCAACTGATATGACAAATACTCCTTCTTCTGAAGATATACCTAAGAACGGAACAGTACTGTGTCTCCAACATTCTGTAGGTAAGTTAATAGTTTGAGTAGATAAGTTAATTAGGTACGTAAAAAAAGTTTTTTAATATATTTTATTATTTATATTTATTTTAGTTTGTCCTGAAATTGATGGACAGGTCTCAGTTTACGCTTCCTTACCTGATTGTACCAAATTCTGCCAATGTTCAAATGGGGTACCATATTTGCATAACTGTCCACTTGGTCTACATTTCAATCCTTCCCTTAATGTCTGCGATTGGCCAGAGGATGCAGGATGTAATAGATCTAATAGTACTATTTTGAGCACTGAAGGCACAACTGCCGTGACTTCTACTAATAATAATATTGATGAAGAGACTACATCTGCAAGCAATAGTACCGAAGTAGATACTACCGTAGATATTACTTCTACAGAAGCTAGTGGTTCAAGCACAGATATAACAAAAGATGATGCTAGCAATACAACTGTTGCTCCAGAAAATGGAACAGAAATATGTCTTCAAAACAATGTTGGTAAGTAAAAATATTCAAAGATATGTTTTATTGCTTATTAATTCTCAAAATAACAGCTTAAGCAACCTTTTATGTGATGCTACATTTAGTGATCTTTTTTTTAGTTTGTCCTGCAATCGATGGAGCAGATTCAGTGTTCACATCTATCTCTGATTGTACCAAATTTTGTCTATGTTCAAATGGGGTACCATATCTTTACAAATGTCCAGGAGGTTTACACTTTAATCCTTCACTAAACGTATGTGACTGGCCTCAAAATGTTGCATGCACCAATAATAACGCTACAACTCCTGCAGTAACAACGGAGAGTACAAATACAGACGAAACTACAACGGAAATAAGTACCACTGAAAGTAATGCTGTTGTAAATGGAACTGAAACTTGTCTAAAAAATAATGTTGGTAAGTAGTGTTCTTAATTATTATTAACATCTTATCACAATATATCCGTTTTAAATAAACTAAATGTCGAAAAAAAGGGAATTGGTAAAAAACTAAAATTTTTGTGTGTGGTGTATAAACTTCTCCAAAACTATAGATGCAACCTTATGCTTTTTTCTTCGATTTTTAACGTGTTTCAATATGTAACTCTAAAGTCTTGCTATTATTTATAATAAATAAAGTACCTAATATAAATAAGTTTTAGCACTCATGAGTTTTAAGCCTGGTTTACATTTGAACTATCAGCAAAATATTTATCAATTTTTAAAAACTGCGTCAAATTTGACCAACTTCTTCTTCGCAGGGTCCCTTCAAGGTGTCTCCGTCCCGAACGTTGGCGATCATTCTGACTATGATGACTTTGTTGGTTGTTATACGGAATAGCTGTGTTGAGGTCTTTCTATACCATGCTCTCAGGTTAGCAAGCCAGGATATTCTTCTTTGTTGTGGGGCCCTTTTTCCTTCAATTTAACCTTGCAAAATGCATTGGAGTAGCTCGTGTCTGCTTTGATTTCTCATTATATATTCCAGATACTGCAGCTTACGGCCCTTCACGATGTTGATCCAATCCGCGGTTGTATTCATCCTCTGCAGTACTTCTTCATTGGTAACTTAGTCTGTCCATGGTATCTTCAGGATCCCTTTACATAACCATAGCTCAAAGGCTGAAGTTTTGATAGAGTTCCCGCCTTCAGTGTCCACGTTTCTACTCCGTACAGAAGCACTAAGTACACGTAACATTTAAGGAGTCTAATTTTTGTTTCTAGGGTGAGGTCATGGCTCTGGAACACAGAGCTCATAGTCAAGAATCCATTTTTTGCCTTTACAATGCGACATTTAATCTCTTGAGTATTGTCCCATAACTCATTGAATATAGTTCCTAAGCAGTTGTATTGTGAGACACGTTTAATTCTCATTTGGTTTATATACAGATTTGCTCTAGTTATGTTTTCCTTGCTGATGGTCATTAGCTTGGTTTTGCTGGTGTTTATATCCAGTCCATATGTTCTATTTATTTTGTTATTTTATTCATTGTTTCAAGTTTTGTAGTTTTTCTATGGTATTGTAAAACACTATTGTATCATCTGCATACCGCAGGTTATTGAGCTTGACTCTATTTATTGAAATGCCTTCATCAATATCTTTTAGAGCCTCTTTAAAAATTTGCTCCGAGTACAGATTGAATATCAGTCGTCAAATTATGCACCCCTGTCTCACTCCCATAAGATTTTGACCTGATCTATATATTTTCCATCTATTGGGAGCACTTCTGATTGATTCCAATAGAGGTTAGCTAATATTTTTAAGTCTCTTCCGTCAATCCCTGTCCTCTTCAGGACTTCTATTATTTGTTAATGCTAACTCTATTGAAAGCTTTCTTGTAGTCAATCAGGCATGCAAAAATGTTATATATGTATAGGTAGAGATATAATGCTTATATCTCTACATTTTTGAAACAATACCTGCACACCACATAAAGCTTTCCTCGTACCAACGGCGTTCAAAAATCCAAACTGATTTGGTGAAATATGTTCCACGCATTTTCGGTAAATAGGCTTATGACCCTATAGTCTTCACAATCTTTTGCTTCTGGTTTTACCAACCTGGTTGTCCAACTTACACATTATTAATCTGCCTTGTTAGCTTGTCCACTGTTAAACATAGGCCACCATTAGATATTTCTGTCTAATATCTTTCCTTTGTCTCTGCTATCCAATTGGATGTAATTTTTTAATTGTTTTTAGTAATTTCTTCGTTTTTTTACTCTATTTCTTGAGCTTATGCTAAGCAATGATCTCTTCATCTTACGCTTTGTTCATCTTTTTAGGTTAATATTATTGTGAGAGTTACTGTTTTTATGCCATATGTCAAGACTTATTTAACCAAACTGTTTTCCAAACAATTTTTTTTCCAAATGCTGCCCATCCTAAGATTATTTTTCTGAGCAGTTTATATGTCTGGGTGTCTCGAGTTAATCTTCGTTCGACTAGTTCTCGATTGCTACTAGCTCATTGGGGACAAGATTTATCATCATTTTGATTTTTCTATAGTTTTGTCTGAAATTAATTCCTATGTTACTTGCTGTAGTATTCTAGTATAATTCTGGCTTCTCCTAAGTCCCTTACTATGAGGACAATGTACTCCAGGACTATTATGATTATTTTTTACTGCAAAGTATCTCCTTCCCACACATCTTTCTTCTTCTTCAGGTGCCATCTCCGCTACGGAGGTTGGCAATCATCATAGCTATCTTAATTTTTGAGGCAGTAGCTCTAAATAGTTGTTTTGAGCTGCATCCAAACCATTATCTCAGGTTCTTCAGCCATGAAATTCGTCTTCTTCCGATGCTTCTTCTGCCATCTATTTTTCCTTGCATTATGAGTCGCAGGATGCCATACTTATCGCCCCGCATCACATGTCCGAGATACTGTAGCTTTCTTTCTTTAATTGTAAGTTCAATTTCCTTCTCTTTGCCTATTCTTCTCAGTATTTCATTGTTTGTAACTCTATCTACCCAGGAAACCCTCATAATTCTTCTATAGGTCCACATTTCAAAGGCGTTAAGTCGTCTCATGGTATCTAGATTTAACGTCCATGATTCCACTCCATAATATAGTACACTGTATACGTAACATTTTGTTAAGCGTACTTTAAGAGCTAATGTTAGATCTTTGCCACATAGGACCTTTTTCATTTTTATAAAATTAGAACGTGCTTTTTCGATTCTGACTTTGATTTCTGCCGTGTAGTCATTATTTTCTGTTATAAGTGTTCCTAGGTAAGTGTAATTTTTACTCTTTCGATCTGCTGGCCCTCTACTATCAAGATTTCGTTAGTATTATAGTTGTTTTTACAAATTTTCATAAACTTCGTCTTTTTGACATTAAGAGAGAGTCCGTACTCCCTACTACACATGACTATTTTGCTCATGAGTCTTTCCAGGTCTTGTAAACTATCGGCTATTATTACTGTATCATCTGCATATCTGATGTTGTTAATTAAGACTCCATTTACTCTTATGCCGACTGTTTCATCTTCCAGAGTTTCTCGAATTACCTCTTCAGAATAGGCGTTAAATAATAGAGGTGATAGAATGCAGCCTTGCCTGACTCCTCTCTTTATTTCCATTTCTTCAGATGTTTCTTTTTCGATTCTTACTATTGCTCGCTGATTGTAATAGAGGTGTGTTATTAGCCTTAAATCTCTTTCATCTAGGTTTTTATTTTTTAGAATTTCCAGGAGTCGATCATGTTTTACTTTTACACACATCTTTGCCAATCTTTATTGTCTTGGTCATGCAATGAAGGCATACAGTTGCTGTAACATTTTCGTCAATACTTTGAATGATATTCCAATATCTGTGGTCTAGTCTTCTTTTTACGTTTTATTCGAATATTTCAGTATTTATATATTTTTGTTAATTTTAGCTTGCCCCGTCGTTGACGGACAGGATTCAGTCTACGCTGCTTTACCTGACTGCTCCAAATTTTGCCTGTGTCTGAATGGTGTACCGTTCGAACATCAATGTTCAGATGGTCTGCTCTTTAATCCACGATCAAATACCTGCGATTGGCCTCAAAGAACATCTTGTTCTAATGAGAATAACGTGACCACCTCAGCAGGTCCCGCCGTTTCTACCGAAGATATCACAGCAGAAGACACAACTGTACAAAGTAGTTCAACGAGTACTGGTGAGAATGAAGTAACAGGTTCTGCAGTTCCAGTTGCTTCTACTGAAGTTATCGCAACAGAAGATACAACTGTACAAAGTGGCTCAACAAGTACTGGGGAGAATAACGTAACAGATTCTGTTCCCACTGTTTCTACTGAAGTTATCGCCACAGAAGACACAACTGTACAAAATAGTTCAACAAGTGAAGAAAACCGCAACGAACCACTACTTGGATCGGAAGACTGTTTGCAAAATAATGTTGGTAAGTATGAATTCATCTGATGCCTGGAAAAATACAGTGTATTAAGTAGCAGATTTCCATTACATTATCAATCCCTATATGAATTAGCAGCAGGAACTGATTGAGTCATATATGTTTCCTACATTATTAAATATGTATATGTATGATCTCTAAGACGTTTGTCTTATCGTTGAATTTTTAATAATATACTGAACGAAACTATAAAAATGCATAGATCATTTTAGCCTTAAAAAATGTTGACAAGTTCTCCTGTAAATAAAAACCACAATTTGTCCATCCATCCTGACAAGTTTTTGACTTTAAAAGCCTTCTTCTTTATCTTTACTTCTTCTGCTTCTTCTTCTTATTTCAGTTTTTGTTCTTCTTCTTTTTGTGAAAAAGAGACATGACTCTGTCTGTTTTTTAATGCGCCTTCAGTAAGTTGTCCTTCCATCGTTTTCGTAGTCTTTCAACTAATCTGCTTCCTATTAGCGAACAAATAGAAAGTTATCCTTTCTTGGGACAGGCAATAGTATCTTCTGAGCTATTTAATTTATTCATTTTTTCAACTCCTTCACCATTGGTGGAGTATAAAGGAATAGACCCATTAAGATTAATTTTTAAACTCCCAACAAATGTTGTAATGGATAAGTTATCAAAATATTTAGTATATCAGACGATGTAGTCTTTGTGATCAATCAAATAGTTAGTGATAGTGATAGATTTTTCGTCACATACAGCAAACCAGCCTACACGTGCTTCGTTGATTTAGAAAAGGGATTCGACAGAGTGCGACCTAAACAAAACTAAAGGATCGGACAGAAACAACAGAACAGGCACCAGACAAGGAGAATCATTAAGCTCAATAATATTCAATTACAGGAAGAATCAATTAATATTCTAAGCAATGTCTTGCGTTCTCCAGCGAAATATTGAGAACTTCTGTTTGACCTAATGGTCCCCAGAAGCTAAATGGTCTTAAGATATACGTGGTTATAAGTCTTTATATTCATTACCTTAGGTGGACTTGGTTATGTCACTTCCTATCGTCTTTCTAATGATTTTGTCTAGAGCGTTCAAATTATATTTTTTTTCTTTTAGGAAAGGATTACGATAATGGAATTAATAAATAAAAAATGAAATGATTCATAAACGATTTTAAGGCAAACAGATCATCAATTATGGATTACATAATTAATCATTAGGCAAAAAAATCAATAGAAAAGAAGAAGATACAGCGAACTTAGAAGAGTTATTAACGAACAACGATATATGCAATACTATGAAAATCTGTAATATCCAATCTATTGATTATAATTGTTTAAAAATATTAATATTACCGAAGCCGTTTTGGGAGAAAAACAAAACGATTTTTAAAAAGACAGATCTACTTCTTCTTCCTCTTCATCCCTAGCTTTCCTCTTTTTAAGGATCCTTTCCAGGATGTAGCTGTTTTTTAACCTTCTTTGCAACTCATTTTTGTTCATCGGATCTTCTTAATTTAAAGTTTTCTCTTACAAGTCCCTTCCCACACAGTATTCTATCTTCTCCTCGGTTTTCCTCTACTTCTCTTTCCCTCAACTTCTAATAGCTTTATCTTTCGTCCCACATAATCCTTATTTTCACGTCTGACTTGACAATCATTGCAATCTTTGTTCCCAAACCTTTTTTGAGACTGTAGTCAACCCCGACTCTTACGCTAATTACATCGTTCCTGATATTACCCCTTCTAGTCTTATCCAATATACTTCGTAACATTTTTATTTCAGCCACCCCTATCTTCTTCTCCTTAACCTTCTTTACATGCCACACTTCACCGCTGTACACTATCGCAGGCCTTACCACACTCTGCATATGTTTCCATTTAACCCTTAACCTTTAACACAGAGTACTCCGCTCATTCTCTTCCAGTTAAACCAACCAGCCTATATTATATGGGTAATTTCTCGATCTAGTGTCGCATTTTCCGTTATGTAGGAGAAAAGGCATTTCAATTCTCCTGCTTGTCCTAGTTTTCCCCAAAAAATTCTATATCTTTAACCATTCCTGTTCCTTCCAGCCACATTTACTCCGTTTTTGACCTGCCAACCTTAAGTCCTCCTTCTTCAATAGCCCTTCTCTATAACTTATCCTCCAACATTTCTTTGCTTTGCTCCTTTAATACTTTATCATCTCTTACTTTCCCCCCTCTCTTACTTTCTCTGTTCATGATTCCATAACAAGATTAGGTAGGGACCAATGAAGAACTTCAGGTCTATTAATGACAATAGTTTCATTATAAAACCAACTATCGAGAAGTTAAGAAAATTTAACCAGGAAATATATGTTACATTGTAACATCTGTTTCTTTAAATATTATTGACGAATCTTTCCGTTGAATCGATGTTTATTATCCAAGCTTATTTTAATATAATATTCACGTTTCTATTACTGAAATAAATAGATCACCAATATTTAAATAATCTTGAGACAACGAACAGAGAGCAGGATTGAAAGATTTATATTAATGGTTTTGAAAGAAGTGGATAGAAAAAAGAGAGGAGACTGCCTTATTTTACTGCCTTTTTTCCTAATTGAAGGAAACAAAATGGCTAGTGAATTTCTCAGTAGAATACAGTTTCTCAGCAAGATTTGATAACCGTATTAAAAAAATTGCTTAATGGAAGATATCATTATTAGTAAATTATTAAACCACATAAAATTAAACTATTAAAATTGCATCACTATCCATTATTTTTAATATTAGTTTACAGTATGAATTTCAATCTTTCATCAATAAAATATTTACTCTTTAATCACATATACTAAAAATTAACTATTCTCTTGACAGTTTGCCCAGCAGTAGATGGCGAGTTCCCAGTATATACCGCACTCCCAGATTGCACCAAATTCTGCCAATGTTCGAATGGAGCACCATATCTTTACAACTGTCCAGGAGGTCTACACTTCAATCCTTCAATTAACACATGCGATTGGCCGGAAGATGCTGGTTGTGAAAAATCCAATTAAAAGGATCAAATTTTTCAAATATTTTGGTATTACAAATGTAGAATAAAATAAAATGGTTATGAAATACTGATTACTGATATACTCATAATAATATACTGATTTTATATTTTGATCTTAAGAGATTATAAAAATAAATTATACTAGATAAACTGTACGTTTTTCTTTATGGTTAGAATGCGGTAAGAAAAAGAAAAGGGAAAGAGTTAAAGATGAAGGAAATCACATAGCTATGTTAAAATGACAATGGGCATGATATTAGTTCAAAAGAAAAGATGAAAGATAAAGCAAAAGGGTGACTATTCAAGGAAACTTTGTTATGAGTGTCAAAAACAGAATACTAAGGAATATAGTCAACGCTCCGTAGCAATTGGGAACTTTATATTAAAGCAATTAAGGAATAGAAATAAACAAAATTACTATAAAGGAATAGTAGCAATAGGACCTGCTTATAAGAGGTTATATTTATAATAGTGAAATTTAGAGGGAGGTAATAAACAGATGTAGGCTTCTTAACTAGTCATAACAAGTGACGTAATAGTGACAGATGACGTTATAGCGCCACTGTTACAGATAATTTTAAATAGGACCTTCTGGCAAGTGATACCTCGTTTGAAATAGGTATTGAAAATACCTATGTAACCATACTAATTTTATTTGGGTTTAAGCTCATTTTAATGAATAAATTAAATAAATACTAAAATTTACAAAAACTTCCGCCTCTGGTTACTTGTCAGAAAATTGACGTTTTTCATTTTTTTAATTTTTTTTAATTGTTTTTACGACAGTGTCAACTTTTTTGACAATTAACCAGAGGCAAATGTTAGAAACTGAATGCGAAACTAAAATTCTAGTTTGGCATTTAATTAATAAAAATTCTAACGTCCGCCTTTGGTTATTTGTCACAAAAGTTGACCTTTGTCAATTCTCTAGTTGTTTTTAGTTTGCAAAAAAGTTTATTGCTCAATATTTAGTTTCCATTTCTAATTAGTTTAGTCAGTTCCATGCAGCGGAACGTCTTTTTAATAAGAGGTACCCCGATTGCCGTACATCGAGAGCTTATTTGAGGAAGCTTCTTCGGAAGTTTAAACAAACAGGTAGTGTTCAAGATGTCAAACGATCTGGTCGACCAACAATAAGTGAAGACAAAAAAATTGACATAATTTTTAAAATGGTAGTGAACCCTACTTCTTCTACAGCCCCAGTTGCAACTATAGGCTATTCCACGAATATACGACTGTTTTTGTTTACTGCGACAACGAATATTTTACTGTGCAAGTAGAAGTATGAAGGTCAATTGGTCTAATCATTATTCCAATAAAAACGGTCTACTAATATGACATCGAAACTAACATTATTTCAGTTAAAATCTACAAATAAATACAATGACTTCTATGAAGCCAAATGTGTTCATCAGACATTTGGGTAAGCTTTCCGTGAAATGTAAACACCAAAGAGGCGTGCCGGGTTTCTTTGATATAACACATTTTATTACTTTATTAGGTATTATAACTGTAATAAAAAGAAATATACTATTTTTAATATAAGTGAAAAGAAATTGACAGAACGATGGTTCACAAACCAGAAAAAGGATCTAATATTTCACTTTGTTAGTTTTAAATATTTGTTTGCTTTGAGTTTATGTACCCTTAAAAGTTCCGAAAGTAACGGGTATAACATACCGGCTATTGATAGTTAAAGTACCGAGTCGTTACAGATATTAAAAAGTAACGAAAATTTATATACAGTTTCAGATATCGCCGACTGATTATGGCTGTGAATCTGATGGTTGATGATAGTTTTAGAAGATTAAGAGAATATGTGAATTAAGTATTTTTGTTTTTTTTTTATATTAATTGAATATTCGACTAAAAAATTTACACTATTTGATCACTCAAGTATTGTTACATTTCGTTTAAATCACATAATTCAAAAACCCACTTGTTTACAATGAAATAATTGAAATGAAAAAATAAACTCCATGATAGTAATTATATACTTCAAAATCTGAATTACAACTGTTTTATAAACTATTAACTTTATATTTATATCATGACTTCATATTTAAATCTAAGGTTTATCTCTGTCGTAACAGTATTTTAAAAATGGGGAGAATTTACTATTGTACAATTCAGTACATTGGACCATTTAAATCGACACCTTAAAGCGTTTTTAAAACAGTCGTATATTCGTGGAATGGAGTATATCTACGGAATCAGTCAAAAGACAGTACATCGAGTATTGGCTGAAAACAAATTTTATCCATACAAATTAAAAATTGTCCACCAACTTTATGATGATGACCCTGACCGAAGACTAGAATTCTGTGAAAATATATCCAATAAAATTAACCAACAGCCGGATTGCATAAAAACAATTTATTTTAGTAACAAAAGTACTTTTTCTCTAACGAAAATGTTAAAACACACAATGTGAGGTATTGGAGGGACACAAATCCTTACCTTTTTCGTAAAATACATACTCAATTTTCAAAAATAATAAATGTTTGGGTAGGGCCTGTTTCTCTCAATACTAACTTAACCGGTGAAGTGTATCTGGAGATCTTACAAAATGCAATTGAACCGTTAATACTTGAAATTCAGGAGGATAATCCAGATAAATTCGGCAACTTGGAAATAACGTTTCAACAAGATGGTGCTCCTGTACATCATTATGGCCCAGTAAGACGTTACCTAGATGAGAAATATCGTAGTAGATGGATTGGACGACGATGTACCATAGAATGGCCAGCTCGGTCACTTTTTTCTGTGGGGATAGTTAAAATCTATGGTTTACGCTACAGCACCCGACATTTTGAAACAACGAATTAATATTGAAAGATGTAGGGCAATTTCTCATGACACATTTGAACGAGTACGGCAAGAGCTTAGAAATACGATGCGTTACTATCAGGAAGTAAAGGAAGCATATTTTAAACGCTTACTATAAGAACTGGTTGTTGAATATTTATTAATTAAATAAGAAGCTACAATTTTAATATTTATTTAATTTATTCATCAAAATGAGCTAATAAGACTAACTGAAAATAGAAAAGTAAGTGCAGAAATTATTGTTAACCTACGCTGAAGAGAGATTACATAATGAAAAACAAAATATCTCATTGGTCAACTTTAAAAATACTGTATTAAATAACCTTGTAACAAAACCCATGAATCAGATTATTTTCTACACATTTTTGCCAAAATTTAGATACTACCTTTGATTAACCGCCAATCTATCAAAAATTATGATCCTAAGCAAACAATAAAGGTATCAGGTGTTTCTCGATAACATATATCAGCACTAAAAGATTTAACTGTTGTTGGAAAAACATTAAGCTGATCCCTTATATCAACAATTATTTTACAACTTAATCCTCGAGGAAAATAAAAACAAAAATATATTTTTATATAAAAGAAATCAGTTAAAAATCGACGATTATTAGTAAAAACTTATTCTGCAGAACAAGATGAACGGTTTCACAGTAGTTTTTGTTACATTTTGTGTCGGTGTTATTGTTGCAGATGATTGTAAGCAATATTTTTTTTTTAAGTCATATTTCACACCCGCATATTGAAAACGCAATTGTTTGGTTGAATAATGTAAATTTTCGATCCAGTCAAATTTGTTTCTGTTTGATTTATGGATCAAGCTTCGTTTAAATTTTGAATATTTTTAAGACTCAAATTCGTCTTTTTTTGATTTTCATAATATAATGTTGAAGATTAAGTCCTATTAAAATTCTATAAGCACATATCCTTCTGCAACAGCAGTGGATTTACATCCTCCATGTTGCTTTAATTTAAGAATATCTCCTCACAAAACAACTAGAATCGATGTCGAAATACGTCGAAATAGCTGACCTGCATAGTCTTTTGGATAGGATTAGCGATGTTATTTTCTAATTAGTATTTATACCAACTACCTGATTTGTTAAGAGGTTTTGAAACTGTTTTCTTGTGGCCTGGGATAATAAGCACAGAGTATAATGGAAAGATACATCAATTATTATGAAAGAAACAGACAGCTTAAAGAGAAAAATCAAAGAAGCAACTCTCATTCTACTTAATGAAGAAAAGGGTGTAGCAACCCCATTAATAGAATGCAACATGCTCTCGTTAACATTACTGAAAGAAGAAGTAAGCAATTTCAATATACCAACAATAATGGGTGAATAGAAGAACATTATCTACAATTAACTACAAAAGCACACAAAAATCAGAATTGAATATTTACCTTGATGAACAGATTTACCTGCAAGATCGAGGACAAGTAAATCAACTGTCAAATTGGCTGCTACAAAGAGCCAACTGGTAATTCTTACAATCTCTTAATTTATATTTTTTGAAAACGATTTTCCCCAGTAGATAACTGGAAATATGTTTGTATTGTTTTTGAACAATATTATATTTAGAAGACGTTCTCGTCCTCCTTACTAATAAAATTTGACCATCTGCGCAGAACAACTACTATACTATTATCTAGATATTTTTTTATCCAGTTAAAATGTAAAGTTTTCTATGTAAAAGCTCAAAATAAATTTTGCCCTTTTACATAGAACTAATTTTTAACATGTATCAGTTAGAATTGTTAGATTCATTCTGTAATAACATCAAAAAGATTTTATTTGTATTGATAAAAGTGTGCAGATGTTTTTTCATACATTTTTTATCATATTCGGAATAATTAAGGTTTAAAAAATGATGTTTTGCCTAACACTTGTACGAACGAAAAAAATGTATCCTTGTGTCTACCATTTTAAGTATTTAGTTAAAGATTAGATCATTATCATAACATATCAACTAATATTGCATTTAAATGTGCTCAATTGGATCAATGTCATTGTTAAATTTTAAATTCATTTAATCTTAAATTTATCGAAGATTCATGTAATCTACAGTCAAATTCAAGTCGCGTGGTAGAAAAATTTTAAAGAATTAACAGCCACGGCAGTGGCGTTCCAAAAAGTATTTTAGGTTTAACGTATAAATAAACAGTGCCAAAATCTAACATAGCATGTCATAACATAGCAAAAACAAAACCACTATCATATAAAGACGAAAAATACCGAAAAATAATAAAAAAAACGGGTGTGGCAGTACAACTTATACTTCTATACATGCGTTCGCAGTTACAAATTTATATGGGAGT